TTCATCGAGGTCAGGGACGACTCCGTGAAGGTCTCCCAGGAAAGCTACGTCGAGTCTCGACTCTTCCAGGTGGAGGTGAAGTCCAACCAGCCCGACCACGAGATGGCGACCGAGGAGCAGCAGTTCGACAACAGGAGTTTGGTGGGAGCCCTCTCTTGGCTGGCGGGGCAAACAAGGCCGGACCTACAGGCCAGCGTGTCCATGTGCCAGCAACTGCAGAAGGCCCCAACTGTCGGAGATGTCAGGTTTTCCAATTTGGTGGCACGACGGGCCTACGAGCACAAGGCCAAAGGGGTGACTTTCTATCCCATTGACTTTGACCGAGCCACGCTCCTCTGCTACCACGACGCTGGATGGGCGAACGCCCCCCAAAACGCCGACGACCCCTACTACAAGTTGACGGACGACGAGAACCTCGCCGGGACGTTCCAGGAAGGGCCCTTCGTTGACAAGCCACGAAAGACAAAGCGAAGCAGCTCTTGCATAGCCTCCCAGCTCGGGTGCCTCTATGTCCTGGCGGATTCGGACATCCTCCATGGCAAGGAGGCTATGATGAGTGTGATTGACTGGAAGAGCCACGCCTGTGATCGGGTGTGCCGCTCGACCTTCGCAGCTGAAACCATGGCTTGCTGCACCGCAGTCGAGGGAGGCGACTACCTGGAGAAGTACCTGGAGACCCTCCTCACCGGAAGTCTTCAACGGAGGACACGTGGCCGGATTCAAATCCGTTTCCTGAGCGACTGTAGGTCACTGTACGACCATCTTACACGGGAAGGAATTCCCCGTGTGCCATCCGACCGCCGGCTCGCTATTGATCTGGCAGCCGTGAGACAAGACTTGAAGTCACTCGGCCGACTAGCATGGGTTCCAACCACTCGCCAGCTCGCTGACGTTCTTACTAAGCCTATGAAGGGAAGCGAGTGGTGGGACTTTTTGAGCTCACCCTTTGGTCTCTCTTTTAAGGAGGAGACTTTTGGAGCAGTGTAAATCTGTAAAGTCTTTGTCT